TAATGTTGGTAAAAATTGTGTATAAATTTAATATTTATTTGTCATATCATTATAATTACTTTTTTATTAACTACTGATACTATCTGTATTTAGTTAAATATTAACTTAAGTTAATTACAATTAGTTTCAGTAAATATATTAAATTATTATACATACTGTATACTAGTATATACAATGTATATAACTATAATTATATAATTTAAATGAAAATATATAGTTAATATATACAATTTATTTATATAATTATTGAATTAAAAAACACCTGGGTTTATCTTAAAACTCGGCTGTTATTTACTGTTCAACAATTAATAGACAAATATTAATACATTAAATGGAAAAATGACCAATGTCCATAAATATAGATAATATTAAATTAATTAATAATATTGGTGTTGGTCATTTTTTATTAATTTAAAATATCATATATTTAATATATATATATATATATAGTATTATAGTATCTTATAGTCTAGTAGTCGAAAAGTGTCGAGTTTTAAGATAATACCAATTTTGTGTCCAATACTATTGTGTTATAATACTTATTAATTGCTAAATAAATATTCACTATAGGAAATAATATCAGGGCAAATTATTATTTAAGGCGTTTTTAACTTTTTAAATTTTTTAACGCAAAATATATATTTTTTAATTATACTTTCTATTAATAATAATAATAAAAAATTTTGTAAAAAATGCTATTTTTCGCCACTGTGTTAATAGAAAAAATAATAATAAATTTTCCAAATTTTACAATTCAAATGATAAGATTAGTAATTGCAAGCACACAATAAATAAAAGTAAATGTTATTTTTTTTAATTGTAGCTATATTTTTAATTATTAATTTAGTATTAGATAATAGAGTCTATTGTCATAAAATAATATTTTTTATTTATATGTGTGTATTATATAATAAAATTATATATAATAAAATATTTAAGTATATAAGTAATTTAATAACACTGTAATATTATTATTTTTTAAATATTAATATTATTTGTATTTTAAATAATTTATTTGCAATTAATATACAGTATATTTGTTATATAAAATATATAATGAAACTGTTAAATAAATTGTTAAGAGAATGGGATAAATATTATTATGGTTTATATATATTTACAACACAATTAGCATTTGTAAGTAAATTATTATTTTTTTCAACATTTTTTTTGTTAGTAATATATAATCAGAAAAAATTTATAAATAAATGCTTCAATAATAATATTGATTTCCTTTTTTAAAGGGTATACTGTTTACATATTTTCCGGTAATTATGGTGGATATGAAATATATTTTGGATACCGAAATCAAATTGATATCATTGCAGACAACGTTTGACACCATTGGCTATACTGTGGGAACATTTGGTAAGTTTTGACCAAAAAAAATAATTATATTATCTGATGAACTATTTATGGACAATACATGCATACAAATATATATATATATAGTTGGACTGACTTACAAATGGTTGAACCGGCAGCTAGTGATGGCCATTGCGTTTATTATGATGTCTGGCCTATACGCGTGCACACCATTACTGACCAGTTTATGGCAACTATACCTAATTGCCTTTCTGTTCGGTGTCGGCTCCAGTGTCACTGTCAGCGCCTATATTGTCTGGACAATTGAACTCTGGCACAAACGTAGCGCACCTGTACTACAGTTGAACGCACTGGGCTTTGCTTTGGGCTCCATCATTGTCACAGCTATTATGTCGCCATATACTACCGGTGAAACTGAACAGGGCAAACTACCGGTGCCCGTTGATGTCAGACGTGATAGGCTAACTGTGCCATCAATTTATATTTGCACTATACTAGCAATAGGTACCGGTATTATTGTTATTATTAGTTGATATAGTTTTTATAAGCAAATTTAATCAATTAATTAATTTTATTTTTAATTTAAAAGTTCCCATCGGATCGCTAATTGTTTTTATTATCAAACCATACAAACTATCTGATAGTAATAAAGTTTTAGACAACAATGACATTGAAAGTAGTAATAGTAGTAGGGATAGGGAGGAAATTGAGGAAAGCTATAGACGACAACAACAACTTAAGCAACAAACACAAGATTTGAAACTGTTTGACGACCCGCGCAGTCCGCGTATATTAATACGGGTATTGTTTACCCTATGGTTTGGCGCTTATATACTAACGGAGACAATGTTTCTCAAGTTTGCCGTCACTTACTATCAGTATTCACCGCATCGACTGACGGCACCCGAAGCCGGACACATGTTTACCTATTCATCAGCAGTCTATTCGGTGGCCCGTATAGTCAACATAGTGTTGTCAATGTATTTGTCGATTAATAAAGTAGTTGTCATACACTACACAATACTGGTGATCGGTATTGTATTGCTGATCGTCGGTCACTGGCATCTGACTGTGCTATGGGTGGCCAGTTGTGTACTGATGGCCGGTTTTGCACCATTGTTTGCCGGAGCATTTTCATTTACCGGCAAATATATGACTGTTAGCAACACAATGAGCAATGTTTTCCTATTTTGTAGGGGTTTACTAACACTGATAACACCCTATATTATCGGTGAGTTTATCGATGGCTATCCGTTTATATTTGTATGGATTCAAATATTTTATTTGATTACAACACTGTTACTATTTAGTGTAATTTATTTTATGATTAATAAATATCAGAAAATAATTTTTTCCTAATTTAATTGATTAGTATTTTTTAAAATAATTATTTTTTTTTGTATTTTGTTTTTGTAAACAAAATTATTGTCAACTTTTTTGGTAATAATAAATATTTTGAAAAATTATTTTCTAATATAGTAGACAATTATTTTTTTTAATTAAATCAATTTAATGAATTTTATTAATATTAATTATTTTAGTTAAAATACTTCATTTAACAATAATAATCTTTTATTAGTAAATTATTTTTTTTATATACAATAATTAATTAGTTTAATAATGTTTTGATTATCACTTGATATTGTTAAAGATATTGATCTCATATTTAATTTACTTTAATGTTTTGCAACTATTTTTGTTTTGTTTGTCTGTATTAATATTTATTATAAATAAAATTTTATGCCAATTTTTTTTGTGGTCACCATTATTATAATCAGTCTTATTGATCAAATGTTAATTTATTAATTTATTTTTAACTAATTTTATTATTATTAATTATTATTTTCTAATATTTTTTTGATAAATTTATTATGCTTGTTACAAAAACTATTACATTTAATTAGATTACAATTAATTATTTATTTGTAAAAATATAAATAATAAAAAAAATAAAGTATAGTTAATATATCTAAAGTTAATAAAACTTCTAACAAATATATCTTTTATATATGTACAATATAAATATCATATTATTATATAGTATATAAATTTTTAGTGCACATAAAATTTTTCCACTTATTTATTTTGATAAATATATATAAAGTATATTAAATGCAAATCAAACTATCGTTATATTATGTAAGTCATTGACTAGCAATGACCGTATTAACAAAAATATTATGCAAACAATATATATAGTATTAATTGATAATTGTATTATTATAACAATTAATATATATTTTGCATTTGATATATTAATTTAAAAAAATATTTAATGTGAAGTTAAATTAATATATCGTTTTATGATGATGATTGTTATATAATATTACAATTATCATAAATATGTTAGTTTATAATTTCTAATATGATTTCACTAACAACTAAACTTAAAAAATTACGAAATATGAAATAAAAATCGGTTTACATTTTATATGTATTGTTAAACATTATTAGTTTATTATTTAAAATTATTATTTTTTATAATGATAATTTTAAGATATAAAAATTAAGTGTATTGTATACCAATAATAATAAAAATGTTGTAATTAATAAAAGTTAATTATCTAAATAACTTTAGACAAAAATAATAAAGTTTTATTAAAACAATATTATAACAAAATAAAAACTTTTTTAAGTATTACTTAGTTGTAAATTAATTTTTTTATGTATAGTAATATTATTTTTTAAAAGTAATTTAATTTTCTAAATATTAGACATTTATAATAATAATAATATCAATTAAATATATGATGAAAATTACAATTGATTGGAAACAATGGGACAAATATTTTTATACACTATATATGTTTTTTATCAATATATCATTTGTATGTAATGATATTATAACTAAATTTTAACAATAAATTTATTTTATTTAATCTGAGATTTTAATATTAATATGTTTTTTTATCTATACATAAAAATAAACAAACAAAAAATTTAGGGCATATTGTTTGCATACTTTCCCTTAGTTATGGTAGATATGAAACACATTTTGGGAACCGAAATGCGATTGATATCATTGCAGACAACGTTTGACACCATTGGCTATACTGTGGGAACGTTTGGTAAGATTTTTTTAAAAAAGGCTAAAACAAAATATTAGTTAATTAATTAATTAATATAATTAATAATATGCCAATCATTATGCACACACACACACACACACACTCAGTTGGACTAACCTACAAATGGTTAAACCGGCAGCTAGTAATGGCCACAGTGTTCATCATGATGTCTGTCCTATACGCTTGTATGCCATTACTGACCAGTCTATGGCAACTATACCTATTTTCCTTCCTATTCGGTATCGGCTCCAGTATTAACGTCAGCGGCAATACTGTCTGGGCAATTGAACTCTGGCAGCGTAACAGTGCACCAGTACTTCAGCTAAACTCACTGGGCTTTGCACTGGGATCCATAGTATGCAATGCCGGTTTATCACACTATTTGACCGGCGATATTGACCAAAGTAAACCATCGATACCCATTGATGTTAGGCGAGACAGGCTAACAGTGCCATCAATAGTATTGTGCTCTATACTGACTATAGGTATAATTAATTAATTAATTAATTACTAATTGTTATCTAATTGAATATATTAATAATTATAAAATCAGTTCCCATATCATCATTGATTATGTATTTGTTTAAACCATACAAACTAAGGGAAATGGATGATGTTTCCGTTAATGGCATTAGTAGTAATCATACTAATAGTGATACTAACAATGATAGCAATGATGGCAAACACCAAAAACAACACCAACAACACCGACAACAACAACAATCGGACATCAAATTATTTGACGACCCGAGAACACCCCGTATACTAATGAGAATACTGTTCCCGCTTTGGTTTGGCATATATCTAATGGTGGAGACAATGTTTCTACGATTTGCTGTCACATACTACCAGTACTCACCTCATCGGCTATCAGCTACCGAAGCCGGCTATATGTTTACAATCGATACGGCTGTCTATTCGGTGGCCCGATTTGTCATCACTTTTCTATCAATGTATCTATCGGTCAACACAATGGTAGTCACACATTACAGTCTACTGGTAGTGGCCATCGTATTGCTAGTTATTGGTCACTGGCATCTGACCGTACTATGGGTGGCCACCTGTACGGTGATGGTAGCTTTTGCACCGTTATATGCGGCATGCTACTCGTTTACGGCCCAATATCTGACAATGACCAACAAACTATCAAATGGTTTCCTATTTTGTAGAGGTATCCTAACATTGGTTACACCCTATATTATCGGCCAGTTTATCGATGGCTATTCAATGATATTGATTTGGGTGGAAATATTTTATCTGGCTGCAACTTTGCTATTGTTTTCAATTATTTGCTACATAATTTATAAATATAAAAATATTATAAAATTAGATTAATTTTAGATATGATATTATTAGTATTGAAATATTTATTTTTTCGATATATTATAGTACATTAAGCTATTTATTTGACTTTTAATTGCATATTCAATATATTTAAATTTAAATTAAATAACTTTAAAGTCTATATAAAAATATTTTTATTTGATTGTAAACTAGAAAATATTTGTTAATTTAATTAATCTGACTTTAATTATAAATAATAAACAATAAAGAGATTTATTTTTTAAAAATATAATGTTTAAATAATTTATTATTTGTGAAATTATGATATAGTAAATTAATTTAATATAAAATATTTAAAAATATATCATTATAATTTATAATTAATAATATATGTATAATAACTTAAGTTAAGTTATTAATACTAATATTCCTTATATTATTTGATATATTAAATTAGTTTATCAAATATAAGGACATCAGTAGCACTAACTATAATTTATTATAAATATAAATATATAGATATATAAATGTATTAATATCAATTTATTTTTCAATTAATAAAAAAAATTGATACCGTAATGCACCCATAAGTAATCAATATGATGACCAAATAAATTGTTTATTAATTAAATATAAATTTATATATAAATATAATATTATAAATAAATAAAAAGTTTTAAATCAAATATATTCAAATTAATTATCATCAATTTTAATTATTTAGATTGATTAATTTCCATATACCCAGTATATATGCTTTTATTAGTGTCCATGAAATAAATAATTTTTTTTAAATTGTGTTTATTAATAATATAATAAATTATTATATCAATAAATTCCGTTTGACATTGAAATAATCATTTTTAAAAGTTTTAGATACAGTATTATATAGTTAATTATTAACTTAAGTTCAATAAGTATTAAGTATTAATATTATATAAAAATAATAATAATATAAGGTATATACTATATATATATATATATATATATATTGTATATACCGGTATAAAGTATAGCAAAAAAATATTTATGAGTATACATTGTATACTACGTGTATACTACAGTACTTATTGAACTTAATTTATAGATATAGATACCAGGTGCATTGATGACAGTGTAATAGTCCTAAACTACAATATATAAACTGATATATTATTAATTTAAAAAAAATAAATTAATAAAAAAATTGCTACAAATTGACAAATAAACACAACAACAACATGACATCATCTAATAAAAAACAACTAACTGTGCTAATTGTGCCGGGTACTTTTGTCGGTCCGATAATGTCGGCCATCGGTATTGGCGAAGTATTGCGCGACAGTGGCCACTATCGGGTAGTGTTTGCCGTTAAGGCCGACTGGCGCGATAAACTACAGTCAATGAACTTTCAGGTAGAACTGGTCGGCCGGGAACAGGTAGTCAAAGATAGTGCCGAAACTACTGTCGAACTGACTGAGCATTTAACCGGCAATCAGAGTCTACTGGAAAAGGCGGTGAAAGCGTTTGAAGGTGTCGACCAAATGTTACCGATGATTGAAACGGATGAACCATATTATCGGGATATTATTGATCGGATACAACCCGATTGTATAGTATACGATGGTATTGGTATTGTGCCGGCGGTGATCACTTCGGGACGGCCGTGGATTATGTACTACACTATGAGTGCACTGATGCTCGACATGTTTATCGATGACCCGCGATTGCCGCCATCACAATTAGGTATGTGCTGTGTGTGTGTGTGTGTAGGTGTAGGTGTGTGTGAGTGAGTGAGTGAGTGAGTGAGTGAGTGAGTGAGTGAGTGAGTGAGTGAGAAAGTTAACCTACTGTCCGCTAAATAAAAAAAAATTACAACAAATTTATTTCAATAGGACTGTCGATTAATAGCGACAAAAAAGTTTGGGAAGACTGCAGAAGACAACTGACAAATGCAAAACAAAAATTGACAAAAACTTTTCACAGTTGGCTTCAGTCGCACGGATGTCCACCACTGCCGGCCAATCAATTTCTATATCCGTCTCCCTATGCGAACCTGTATTTGACACCTAAAGAACTGGACTACACCGATATTAGGCCACTGCCCGACAATTACTATCAGTTTGACTATTTTAAGCGCACAGCCAATGAAGAAATGTTTGAAGTACCGGAACAGTTGAGACATAGATCTGGAAAATTGGTTTACCTGTCGTTGGGATCGATGGGCAGCGCAGATGTCTACCTAATGAAACGTTTGGTCGCTATGTTAGCCAACTCTGAGCACCGGTTTATTGTATCGAAAGGTATCAAACACGACAAGTATGAGTTGGCGGACAACATGTGGGGCGAAAAGTTTGTCTCACAAGTAAAGGTGTTGCCAATTGTCGATCTATTCATAACACACGGCGGCAATAATTCAGTGACCGAAAGCATGTATTTCGGTAAACCTATGATAGTATGTCCGATATTTTTGGATCAATACGATAACGCACAGATAGTCGAGGACAGGGGTTACGGTATACGACTCAATCCATACGAGTGCTCTGAACAACAATTATTGCAATCAATTGACAAACTATTAAATGATAGAAAATTGGCTGAAAAGTTGTCAAAAGCATCGCATAGAATACAAACTGAGAAACAAATTGAAAAAATACCGGAAATTATTGATAGATTAGTCAAAAAATAATTGAAAATTTTATTTTAATAAATTAAATATTTATAAACTGTAAGCTAAAAAATTAAACTATTATTATGTTTATATAATTTTTTAGATTAAAAATTATTTTAGTATGATATTGAATAACTTTTAATTATATTTCTAAAAATATTTTTTTTACTATTTATTTAAAGCATAAAAATTTCAATTTTTTATATCTACTGTATATATAATGTTATATTTTTTTAAAAAACTAATTAAATATAATAAGAAATATAAAATATCATTTAAAAAATCAATTATTAATTTTATACTTTTTTTTGTTACACTTATTATTTAACAATTATTGGCATTTATCACAAATATTATTATTGAAATATTTGTATTATTATCAATATTATTATTATTATTATTATTATTATTATTATTATTATTATTATTATTATTATTAACCTTGGTATATAAATACTGTATATAATTGCTATTGACATTGAACTTAATAAGCAAACTAACTGCATTAATTATTTAATTATGTGATATCATAACATTATGATATCCATTATTGTTACTAATCTATTTGTACAGTATATTTGATAATTATAATTATTATGATTATGATATAAAAAATTTGTTTTTGTATTAGTGACACTATCATACCAACTAGGTTATTTTGTTAGTTAATTTGTAGCTATCAACAACTTTAGGTGTAAAAATTAATTTTAACTGAACCAGTATAAAAGTTAAGACTAAATAAATTATATTTTTAATTATTTTTTAATTATTTAATCTATTAATATCGTGTTTGTGTGTGTAATAGTGTGATAATTTTTATTATTTAAAACTAAATAAATAATGGCATCAATAAGCAATAGTAATAATCAGCTAACTGTGCTAATAGCACCGGGATCATTTGTCGGTCCGCTAATGTCGGCCATCGGTATTGGCGAAGTATTGCGCGACAGTGGCCACTATCGGGTAGTATTTGCCGTCACTGTTGACTGGCGCCAAAAATTGCAAACAATGAACTTCGAGGTTGAACTTATCGGTGAGGAACAGTCGGTAGTGGATAGTGTCGAAACCAATGTCGAAGTATCTCAGAGACTATCAGGTAATCAAAGTCTATTAGATAAGTCGGTTATGTTGTATGAAACGTGGAATGATTACATACCGGTGCTGGAAGTCAATGAACAGTACTATCGGGCTGTTATTCAGCGGATACGACCTGATGTTATTGTTAGCGAACATTTGAATATATCGCCAACGATTATCAACTACCAGTGCGTTAAAGTATATTTCAATAGTAACGGTGCACTAATGTTGGATATGATACACGATGACCCAAGATTGCCGCCATCGCAATTAGGTAGGTGCCTTCAATTGTTTTTATATAATTATCATATTTTTTACACATATAAATTATATACAATAAAAGGATTGTCAGTTAATAGCGACAAACAAGAGTGGGAAGAGTGTAGAAGCAAACTAACAAAAGCTAAAAACATTTCGTTCAATCAGTGGAACAGTTGGCTTCAAGGAAACGGATGTCCGCCATTGCCTAAGAATCAATTTCTATATCCATCTCCCGATGCAAACTTTTATTTGACACCCAAAGAGCTAGACTATACTGATATTAGGCCACTGCCCGACAATTACTATCAGTTTGACTATTTTAAACGTACAGCCAATGATGACGATGTGTTTGAACTGCCGGAACAATTCAGACAAAAATCAGGAAAATTGATTTACTTTTCGTTGGGATCGATGGGCAGCGCAGATGTCGATCTAATGAAACGTTTGGTCGGTATGTTAGCCAACTCAGAGCACAGGATTATTGTATCGAAAGGTATCAAACACGACAAGTATGAGTTGGCGGACAACATGTGGGGCGAGAGGTTTGTCCCGCAGATAAAAGTGTTGCCAATTGTCGATCTATTCATAACACACGGCGGAAATAACTCGGTGACCGAATGTATGTATTTCGGTAAACCTATGATAGTGTGTCCCATATTTTTCGATCAATACGATAACGCACAGAGAGTTGAGGACAAGGGTTACGGTATACGACTCAATCCATACGAGTGCTCTGAACAACAATTATTGCAATCAATTGATAAACTATTAAATGACACAAAATTGTCTGAAAAATTGTCAAAAGCGGCCAAAAGAATACAAACTGATAAACAAATTGAAAAAATACCAGAAATTTTTGATAGATTAGTCAAAAATAAATTAAATGTTTAATAGTTTAGTTGATATTATTTATATTTAGTAAATATATAAATTTAATTTTTGATAAAAACAAAATATAACATTGTTTTGTTGTTAAAATATTAATTATCATTAAATTAATCTGAAAATTGTATTTTTTATAAATAAAAACTAAGTAAAATCTTATTTATATTAATTTTATTAATAAATAATTACTAAAAAATAAATTATTTAATTAAACATATATAAAATATAAAAAAAATTATAATTGTGAGTATACTAAAATTAAAAATCAAATTATTTTTGATTAACTAATCAAATTTTCTATAATTGTTTTTCGATAATTATTATTATTTAAAAAATTAATATAATTTTTATCTGTATTTTTTTGGCAAAAATGCTCAGTGTTAAATTTTAAAAAATATATGATTAAAACCAGTTGAGAATGCTAGAAAGCATTTCCACACGAATTCCTAATCATAATTAAAAATTAAATTCAGTATGATAAAATAAAATCAACTAAAGTTATGTAGGGTATCAAACGATTTAGTATGACAAAATAAACAACTATAGTCATGTGGGGTATCAAATGATTCAGTATTACAAAATAAACTACTATTTTCCTAAAAAATAAACTTAAAAACGAAAAAAATAAAAAAATCAATATTCAAAAAAATTCAAAAAAAAATTCAAAATTTTTTTAATTAATTTTTGGACACCATTTTCTTCAATTTCCTAAAAAATAAAACTTAAAAACGAAAAAAACAAAAAATCAATATTAAAAAAAATCAAAAAAAAATTCAAAAAAAATTCAAAATTTTTTTAATTAATTTTTGGACACAATTTTCTTCAATTTCCTAAAAAATAAACTTAAATAAGAAAAAAAAACAAAAAAAAATTCAAAAAAAATTTGTAGCGGATAGTGGATTCGAACCTATGTCCTCGTGGGACAGACAGACCGACAGACCGACAGACCGACTTATAGAATGCATATACGTATTCCTTTCAGGAATTCGTGATTATACCCAGTTTATAATTATATGATTGTCATTGCCATTGAAAAAAATTAATACTATAAATAATGTATACATTAGTCACTTCAGTATTTATAATTACATAACATTATTATTATGATTTTATGTACTTATATTATATGAAATATGATATATGATATAATATTATATAAGTTTTATATATTTATGTTTAATATTTAAAAAACATCTGTTATATATCAAAACCTAACTTTATTAATATGACTATTAATTAACTAAAAACTGGTAAAAAATGTAATAAAATTTAAGTATAAATACAATATATTTATTTATTTTTTTTAAAAAAATCGAAAAGTTATTTATATATTATATATACTAATAAAATGTTTTTATAATTATATATTAATTGCAACAAGAACAAACAATTTATTAATTTAATAGCAAAATAGTTTTTATTTTATTTTTTTATAAAATAATGACATCAGTAAACAATACTAGTACTAAACAGCTAACTGTCCTGGTGACACCGGGTGTGTTTGTCGGTCCGCTAATGTCGGCCATCGGTATCGGCGAAGTGTTGCGCGACAGTGGCCGCTATCGGGTAATATTTGCCGTTAAGGCCGACTGGCGGGACAAACTGGTCAATTTGAATTTTGAAGTAGAACTGATTGGTGGGGAACAGGTAGATAAAGATAGTGTAAAAGCCAATGTCGAGTCGGCACAGTTGCTTATTGGCAATGAAAGTCTATTGGATAAAGCAATGAAAACGTTTGACGTTTTGAAAGGATGGATACCTGAACTGGAAGTTAATGAGCCCTACTATAGGGATATTATTGATCGGGTCGGACCCGATTGTATACTATGCGAACATTTTACAATGTCGCCATCGATTATCAACTCCCGGTGCCCGACAGTGTTTTTTCATACAAACAATGCATTGTCAATGGATATGCTTATCGATGATCCTCGATTGCCGCCATCACAATTAGGTTAGGTGCAACAACAACAATAAAAATTTTTGACCAAGGTTAATTTCTTAAAATAAATATATATTTTTTTAATCTATGAATAATAGGACTGTCACTTAATAGTGATAAACAATTGTGGAAAGAGTATAGAAATCAACTGAATCAAGCAAAACAAAAATCGTTAACTGAGTGGCACAGTTGGCTTCAATCGCATGGATGTCCGCCAATGAAAGAAACACAAATTTTCTATCCGTCTCCCTATGCTAACCTGTATTTGGCACCTAAAGAGCTCGACTACACCGATATTAGGCCATTGCCCGACAATTACTATCAGTTTGACTATTTTAAGCGCACAGCCAATGATGATATGTTTGAACTACCGGAGCAATTGAAACATAAATCAGGAAAATTAGTTTACCTGTCGTTGGGATCGATAGGCAGTTCAGACGTTGATCTAATGAAACGTTTGGTCGGTATGTTAGCCAACTCAGAGCACCGGTTTATTGTATCGAAAGGTGTCAATCATGACAAGTATGAGTTGGTGGACAACATGTGGGGCGAGAGATTTGTCCCGCAGATAAAGGTGTTACCAATAGTCGATCTATTCATAACACACGGCGGCAATAACTCTACCACCGAATCCATGTATTTCGGTAAACCTATGATAGTGTGTCCGATATTTGTGGATCAGTTCGATAACGCACAGATAGTCGAGGACAGGGGTTACGGTATACGACTCAATCCATACGAGTGCTCTGAACAACAATTATTGCAATCAATTAATAAGTTATTAAATGACACAAAATTAGCCGAAAAGTTGGCAAAAGCATCAAAAAGAATACAAACTGATAAACAAATTGAAAAAATACCGGAACTTATTGATAGATTAGTCAAAAATATTTAATAATTTCTTATATATATACTATAATTTACAATATATTGTGTATAACTATTCAAATTTATTACAAAAGTTATAATAAATTTGAATACAAAAAACTGATATATATATTATAACTATATATATATATATATATAAAAAAATTTATATAGAAAATCTGTTATTTTATTTTATAATAAAGTAGTTTTAAAAATAATTAATAAAAATTTATTTTATTATAACATAAATTTATATAATTCTAGATAATTAAATTTTTAGATAAATATTCTAGATAAATATTATTATTATTATCATTGTTTTATGTTAGTAACGTTATTTATAGTATCCAGTTAATGTTTGATTATTTCAATGTCAAATATTATATACAGTAATACAATAGACTTATTTATACTGTATTAACAGATTTTACATTAATAACCAAAAAACAAAATGTGATAACAAAATATGTTTACAGTTTTATTGCATTAAGTGACAGAAATTAATTTTTAAAATTTTTTTAAATATAAGTTAACGCAAACTAAATATATATATTTAGTAATTTATTTTTTAAGTAAAAATTTTTTGTTTATTTGATTTACTTAATTGTAAAATCAAATAAATAATAATTAACTAAATAAACTAAAATTACAACAATGAACAATAATAGCAATAGTAAACTAACTGTGCTATTAGCACCGGGCGCTTATGTCGGTCCAATGATGTCGGCCATCGGCATTGGCGAAGTATTGCGCGACAGTGGCCACTATCGGGTAGTGTTTGCCGTTATGGGTGACTGGCGGGAAAAACTGGTCAAATTGAATTTTGAAGTTGAACTGATCGGTGAGGAACAGGAGGTGGTCAGGGATAGTATGGAAGTCGGTGTCGAATACGATTTGGGTCTTATCAACAACGATAGTCCATTGGATAAGTTAATCAAAACGTCTCAAAGTGGAGGCAGCTATATATCGGTACTCGAAGCAGCCGAACCCTACTATCGGGCTATTATCGACCGGATCCGACCAGATTGTATAATCAGCGATCATGTAACTATGTCGCCTACTATTATCAACTACTCCCGGTGCCTGAAAGTATTTTATCATAGTAACAATCCACTTGGATTGGATATGATTATCCATGATACTAGGTTACCGCCATCAAAATTAGGTGGGTGTGCACTACTGTTATCTAATAATAACATACCGGTATATATGTTGATTTATCTAACAATATGTACTTATTTTATTTTTTTTGACATACTATTAATAAAATAATAGGACTGTCACTCAATAGCGACAAACAGTTATGGGAAGAGTATAGAAGTCAACTGACAAAAGCCAAAAAACAGGGTTTCAATTCGTGGAACAGTTGGCTTCAATCGCACGGATGTCCGCCATTAGAGGACAATCTATTTTTCTATGCATCTCCCGATGCAAACTTTTATTTGACACCCAAAGAGCTCGACTACACAGATATTAGGCCACTGCCCGACAACTACTATCAGTTTGACTATTTTAAGCGCACAGCCAATGATGATGTCTTTGAACTGCCGGAACAATTGAAACATAAATCAGGAAAATTAGTTTACCTGTCGTTGGGATCGATAGGCAGTGCACACATCTATCTAATGAAACGTTTGGTCGGTATGTTAGCTAAGTCTGAGCACCGGTTTATTGTATCGAAAGGTCTCAAACACGACAAGTATGAGTTGGCGGACAACATGTGGGGCGAAAAGTTTGTACCACAAGTAAAGGTGTTGCCAATCGTCGACCTATTCATAACACACGGCGGCAATAATTCAATTACCGAATGTATGTATTTCGGTAAACCAATGATAGTGTTACCACTGTTTATGGATCAGTTCGATAACGCACAGATAGTCGAGGACAGGGGTTATGGTATACGACTCAATCCATTCGAGTGCACTGAACAACAATTATTGCAATCAATTGACAAACTATTAAATGACACAAAATTGGCCGAAAAGTTGGCAAAAACATCGCATAGAATACAAACTGAGAAACAAATTGAAAAAATACCGGAAATTATTGATAGATTAGTTAAAAATAAAAAATAATATTTGAATTAATTCATTCAAATTTTTTTTAGATTAAATATTTTTTAAATATATATATTTTTATATTTTTCTATATTTATTACTTGTTTAGAATAATATAACTATTTGTATTTTTATGAATTATATTAATAGATAATTATTAATAAAATAATTTTTACAATATCTGAGAAAATTTTCATTAATTTAAATTTTTACTGTGTATCATAATTTTTTTTTAAATATTAATTAAAATATTTAGCAATTAAATTGTATCTAGCTAATACATTTTTGGTATGCATTTAACTATTTTTTTATAATTTATATTTTTTATATAAATATTAGTTGATATTGAAATACTATATCGAGTGATACTAAATCGTATAAATAATTTTATTATTTATTAAAATAATTATCTATATTTATACTGTATTTGATTTGAAAATGTGTTATATATACCGTATATATCTATAAGGTTTTATATATAACTTAAATTTGTAGATAAACTTAAAGTTGTAAACTTATTTGATAGTTCAGAAACAGTGCATTAACTACTAGTGTTGGAAAAATACACAAAGTTTTGAAATTTTTATCTATAAATTACTGTATAATAAAATGTTTTGCATTTATCATAATATTTTTAATTTATATTATAAATTATTATAAACTAATATATTTATTAAATCTATAAATACATAGCAGTATATTATGTAAAAAAAATTATAAAAATTAATTAATTATGATATAATTGTTTGAAAACTTATAAAATTATGGTTTTTTTGTTGATTTAATATACTGTATAATTAATACACTTTTTTGTTTTATTATACTAACTTTTTTTTTGTTTCTGCCAACATTACTAATAATATTTATACTTAATATTAAGATTTTTTTAAAAAGTATGAACTTTTATCTACATATTGTATTAATTGAATTACTAAAACAAATCAAAAATAATAAATAAATTTCAAAACTAATGATATAGACACACTTGAGATATTAATTTGAGTTAATTAGATAAAAGTATATTATATAACAACTATTGAATAATTACAAACTGTGTACTCTAGAGATGCACTTAATTATATGTAATTAAAAAATTATTTATTTAAAGTATAAATACAACTTATACTAATATATAAAAACAAAATATTAATATACTATTATTTTTAGTTATAGTATTTATTTTAGCAATTTAGTTAATTTAGTTAATTAATATAGTATTTTTAAAAAGTTATATATTAAATATAAATAGTTATATATTAAATATAAATAGTTATATATTAAATATAAATAGTTATATATTAAATATAAATAGTTATATATTAAATATAAATAGTTATATATTAAATATAAATATATTATATTTAGTTAAATGTTAAGTTAAATAATAATAATAATAACTGCCAAAAAAATGACATCAATAAACGATAATAACAACAATAATAGTAAAAAACAACTAACTATCCTGGTGGCACCGGGTTCATTTGTCGGCCCGATAATGTCGTCCATCGGGATTGCCGAGGTATTGCGCGACAGTGGCCATCGGGTAGTCTATGCTGTTAAGGCCGACTGGCGGGACAAACTGGTTAAATTGAATTTCGAAGTGGAACTGATTGGCGGCGGCGGTGGGGAACAGGAGGAAAAAGATAGTGTCGAATCCAATGTCGAATTGGCTCAGTTACTCATGGGTAACGAAAGTCTATTGGACAAGGAAATCAAAACAGTCGACTGTTATACCGGTTGGATACCTGAACTGGAAGCTAATGAACCCTATTTTCAAGATATTATTGATCGACTGAAACCCGATTGTATAGTATGCGAATGTGTAACATTGCAGCCGACAATTATCAACTCCCGGTGCGTTAAAGTCTATTATCATAGTAACAATGCATTGTCAATGGATATGCTAATCGATGATCCCCGATTGCCGCCAGCACGCTTAGGTAGGTTTTTTTTGTTTGATGGCATCATATTTTAAATAACAAAAATATCCCATTTTCTATAAACTAATCTATAAACTAATAGGACTGTCACTGAATAGTGATAAACAATTGTGGAAAGAGTATAGAAAACAACTAAATCAAGCAAAACAAAAGTCGTTAAATGAGTGGCACAGTTGGCTTCAATCGAAAGGATGTCCGCCAATGAATGAAACACAAATTTTATACCCGTCTCCCTATGCTAACCTGTATTTGGCACCCAAAGAGCTCGACTATACCGATATTAGGCCACTTCCAGACAATTACTATCAGTTTGACTATTTTAAGCGAACCGCCGACGATGACGATGTGTTTGAACTGCCGGAAAAATTTAGGCAAAAATCAGGAAAATTAGTTTACCTGTCGTTGGGATCGATGGGCAGTTCAGACGTTGATCTAATGAAACGTTTGGTCGGTATGTTAGCTAAGTCTGAGCACCGGTTTATAGTATCGAAAGGTGTCAATCACGACAAGTATGAGTTGGCGGACAACATGTGGGGCGAAAGGTTTGTCTCACAGGTAAAGGTGTTACCAATAGTCGATCTATTCATAACACACGGCGGCAATAACTCTATCACCGAATCCATGTATTTCGGTAAACCTATGATAGTGTGTCCCATATTTATGGATCAGTTCGATAACGCACAGATAGTCGACGACAGGGGTTATGGTATACGTCTCAATCCATACGAGTGCTCTGAACAACAATTATTACAATCAATTGACAAACTATTAAATGACACAAAATTGGCCGAAAAGTTGGCAAAAGCATCAAAAAGAATACAAACTGATAAACAAATTGAAAAAATATCGGAAATTATTGAAAATTTAGTTAAAAATAAAGATAAAATATGAATCAATGAATTATATATTTCATAAATTATTACTAGTTTATAATAATATTACAATTTATATTAATATTTTATTTTTAATACAGTATAAGCTAAATGCTATAAATTTTTTATAGTAATTATTTTATTGATAATAATAATAAATTTTTAATTCGACAATTAATTGTTATTTTTAATAATTATGTTAAATATTCAGAATATAGATATTATATAAGATATATTATAGAGTTGTTATTAAATTATTTATATTATAATTAAATTAGTAATAAAAACAAAACTTTAATAACTAACAAAATTAATAGGTCTATTTATTAACAATTATTATAAAAAAATTATTACAAAAATTGTTTGGAAAAATTTTGAAAATTTTTAGTAATTATGTTTTTTTAATAAACATTAGTTGACATTGAAATACCAATTTATCAATTGATACTATTGTATAAATAATATAAAAATGTTTTTCAATAATTATATTTATTAAGATAATTATCTATATTTATGATTAAAAAAAACGTTTTATATATGATATTAAACTGTAATATAAAATAGTGCATTAACTACACAGTGACATAAATGCACTAAAAAAAAATATGCAATAATATAATCAAATATTTTATAACTATAAATACAACTTAACTCGGCTTAATATATTTTTTTTATAAAAAAAAATTCAAAAATAAAAATAATTTAGTAAATAATTTATTGCAAAAAAATTATTAGTTTATTAAAATTAAAACAAAATGACATCACTAAACAATGCTAGTGGCAATAAAAAACAGCTAACTGTCCTGGTGGCACCGAGTGGTTTTGTCGGTCCGCTAATGTCGGCCATCGGTATCGGCGAAGTGATGCGCGACAGTGGCCATCGGGTAGTGTTTGCTGTTAGGGCCGATTGGCGCGACAAACTTTTGAAATTGAATTTTGAAGTGGAACTGATTGGCGATAAGGATGAACAGGTAGTCAAAGATTCAGTAGAAGCCAATGTAAAGGAGTCACAGGTACTCATTGGTAATAAAAGTCAATTGGAAAAAACGATTAAATCGTTTGAAGGTTACGATAGATATAAGATACCACTCGTAGAAGCGGATGAGCCCTACTATCGGGATATTATCGGTCGACTGCGACCCGATTGTATAATATGCGAACATATAACTATGTCGCCAACGATAATCAACTCCGGGTGCGTTACAGTGTTTTATCAGAGTAACAGTGTTCTGGCAATGGACATGTTTATCGACGACCATCGATTGCCGCCATCATCATTAGGTGGGTGCCATATCTAATAATACTGTATATGAATAAAGCTATACAACAACAACAACAAAATATTATTAGGACTGTCCGTCAATAGCGACAAACAGTTGTGGGAAGAGTATAGGAAACAAATAAATCAAGCAAAACAAAAATCGTCAAAACATTGGCACAGTTGGCTTCAATCGCAAGGATGTCCGCCAATGAAAGAAAATCAGATTTTATATCCATCTCGCTATGCGAACCTGTATTTGGCACCCAAAGAGCTCGACTACACCGATATTAGGCCACTGCCCGACAATTACTATCAGTTTGACTATTTTAAGCGAACCGCCGATGATGACGATGTGTTTGAACTGCCGGAACAATTCAGACAAAAATCAGGAAAACTAATTTACCTGTCATTGGGATCAATAGGCAGTGCAGATGTCGACCTAATGAAACGTTTGGTCGCTATGTTAGCCAATAGTGAGCACAGGATTATTGTATCGAAAGGTGTCAAACACGACAAGTATGAGTTGGCGGACAACATGTGGGGCGAGAGGTTTGTACCACAAGTAAAGGTGTTGCCAATTGTCGACCTATTCATAACACACGGCGGAAATAACTCGATTACCGAATGTATGTATTTCGGTAAACCAATGATAGTCGTACCGCTGTTTTACGATCAATACGATAACGCACAGAGAGTTGAGGACAAGGGTTACGGTATACGACTCAATCCATACGAGTGCTCTGAACAACAATTATTGCAATCAATTGATAAGTTATTGAATGACAAACAATTGGCTGAAAAGTTGGAAAAAGTATCCAAAAGAATACAAACTGAGAAACAAATTGAGAAAATACCGGAAATTATTGAAAATTTAGTCAAAAATAAAGATAAAATATGAATCAATAAATTCATATTTTTTTAGATTTTATATTATTTAGATAATTAATTTTTTATATATATATATATTATTAGTTTAAAGTAATATTGTCTTTATATTAAATAATACTGTATAAAAATTGTTAAAATATTGATTAAAATAAATTTCATGTTAAACAAAATTTTTAATTCAATAATTAATTGTTATTTTTAATAATTATATATTATCTAGAGTTATCTAAAACAAAACATATATTAAATAATTTCTTCAATAACAAGTGTATTAGATATACATATTAATAATTTTTTAAAAAAATACTTATTTTAACTAATTTTTGACATAAAAAATTGTTGGTTTTCATAAGATTTTTGTCTAAATTATTAAAAAAATATAAAATATTTATTTCAGTTTATTTTTTTATAAACATTAGCTGACATTGAAATACTACAGTATAGATAATTAAATAAAATGTTTTGCAATAATTATATTTATTAAGATAATTTATCATATATTTATGATAAACAAAACTGTTTTATATAATATATTAAACTTAAATATTAGATTATAAGTTTATACTGTATATACTAAAATAGTGCATTAACTACACAGTGATACAATGCACCAAAAAAATATCAAATATTTATATGTATATAAATACAACATAAAAGCGCGGCTTATATTTATATTCAAAATTCAAAAAAAAATATAATTTAGTAAATATTTTATTGAAAATAAAAAAATTATAATCAAATTAATTTTCAAAACAATTTATTTAGTTATTGAATTAAAATAAAATGACATCACTAAACAATACTGGCGGTAAAAAACAACTAACTATCCTGGTGGCACCGGGTGGTTTTGTCGGTCCGCTAATGTCGGCCATCGGCATCGGCGAAGTGTTGCGCGACAGTGGCCATCGGGTAGTGTTTGCCGTTAGGGCCGATTGGCGCGAAAAACTTGTGAAATTGGATTTTGAAGTGGAACTGATTGGCGATAAGGAACAGGTAGTCAAAGATTCAGTTGAAGCCAATGTAGAGCTGGCACAGGTACTCATTGGTAATGAAAGTCTATTGGAAAAAGCGATTAAATCGTTTGAAGGTTACGATGAATGGATACCTCTTGTGGAAGCAGATGAGCCCTACTATAGGGATATTATTGATCGGGTCGGACCTGATTGCATAATCTGCGAACATATAACTATGTCGCCTACGATAATCAACTCCGGGTGCGTTACAGTGTTTTATCAGAGTAACAGTGCTCTGGCTATGGACATGTATATCGATGATCCTCGTTTACCGCCATCACAATTAGGTAGGTGTCTTATATTATATATAATAAAAGCATACCAATGAGATATTGCAAATATTTTTTTTGACTATCAATAGGACTGTCACTTAATAGTGACAAACAATTGTGGAAAGACTATAGAAGTCAACTGACAAAAGCAAAACAAAAAACTTTCCAACTGTGGAACAGTTGGCTTCAATCACATGGATGTCCGCCATTAAAAGAGAATCAGTTTTTATATCCGTCATCCTATGCTAACTTATATTTGACGCCCAAAGAGCTAGACTACACCGATATTAGGCCACTGCCCGACAATTACTATCAGTTTGACTATTTTAAGCGAACAGCCAATGATGATGTGTTTGAACTACCGGATCAATTGAAACATAAATCAGGAAAATTAGTTTACCTGTCGATGGGATCGATGGGCAGTTCAGACGTTGAACTAATGAAACGTTTGGTCGGTATGTTAGCCAACTCAGAGCACAGGATTATTGTATCGAAAGGTGTCAATCACGACAAGTATGAGTTAGCGGACAACATGTGGGGCGAGAGGTTTGTACCGCAAGTAAAGGTGTTGCCAATTGTCGACCTATTCATAACACACGGCGGAAATAACTCGATTACCGAATGTATGTATTTCGGTAAACCTATGATAGTGCTACCACTGTTTTTCGATCAGTTCGATAACGCACAGATAGTCGAGGACAGGGGTTACGGCATACGACTCAATCCATACGAGTGCTCTGAACAACAGTTATTGCAATCAATTGATAAGTTATTAAATGACAAACAATTGGCTGAAAAGTTAGAAAAAGTTTCTAAAAGAATACAAACTGAGAAACAAATTGAAAAAATACCAGAAATTATTGAAAAATTAGTCAAAAATAGATAATATTTTATTAATATTTAATATATATTAGTTATATGAAATTATTTATAATTTTATTTTAACTTTATATTATTATTATTATTATTATTATTAATTTTAATTTAGTAAATAAAATAAAAATAAATGAATATTATTTAACATTGAATTGAACATTAATTATAATTTATAATATTGTACAGTATTTAGATTTTTAATATATAGAAATTTAAATAATAATAATAATAATAATAATAATACTAATAATAGACATATAATAAAATATACTAGAATTTGACATTGATTTTATCTATTGATTATGCATTTAAATATATAATTTTATATACAGTATATAATTATCTATAGTTATACTGTTTTCCTATTAAAAAATGTGTGTTTATTTATTAACTAAACATTGATTAAAATTCAATGATTGAAATAATTTGATAAATTTTTATTTTTAATAAATTTTAAAATACTATTAATAATAAAAATGGCATCAGTCAACAACAATAGTAGCGGTAAAAAACAACTAACTGTCCTAGTGGCACCGGGTGGATTTGTCGGTCCTCTAATGTCGGCCATAGGCATTGGCGAAGTGTTGCGCGACAGTGGCCACTATCGGGTAGTGTTTGCCGTTAGGGCCGACTGGCGCGATAAGCTGGTCAAATTGAATTTCGAAGTGGAACTGATTGGCAATAAGGAACAGGTAGTCGTCAAAGATTCAGTAGAAGCCAATGTCGAGCTGGTACAGGTGGCCATTGGCAACGAAAGTCTAGTGGAAAAAGCCGTGAAAATGTTTGAAACTTGGATTGAATACATACCGGTGCTCGAAGCGGATGAGCCCTACTATCGGGATATTATTGACCGGATTCAACCGGATTGTATACTATGCGAACATTCAACTGTTTCGCCGACACTAATCAACTACGAGTGCACTAAAATATTTTATCATAGTAATAGTGCTCTGGCAATGGACATGTATATCGATGATCCTCGATTACCGCCATCACAATTAGGTAGGTGTGTGTGTGTGTGTGTGTGTCAACTAATAAAATGTATAATAATAATAATATGAGAATATTATTAATAGGACTGTCACTTAACAGCGACAAACTGCTGTGGAAACAGTATAGAAGTCAACTACAAAAAGCAAAACAAAATAACTATAAACTATGGAAGAGTTGGTTTCAATCACATGGATGTCCGCCATTAAAAGATAATCAGTTTTTATATCCATCTCCCGATGCAAACTTTTATTTGACACCCAAAGAGCTCGACTACACCGATATTAGGCCACTGCCCGACAATTACTATCAGTTTGACTATTTTAAGCGCACAGCCAATGATGATGTGTTTGAACTGCCGGATCAATTGAAACATAAATCAGGAAAATTAGTTTACCTGTCGATGGGATCGATGGGCAGTTCAGACGTTGATCTAATGAAACGTTTGGTCGCTATATTAGCCAAGTCTGAGCACAGAATAATTGTATCGAAAGGTGTCAAACACGACAAGTATGAGTTGGCGGACAACATGTGGGGCGAAAGGTTTGTACCACAGGTAAAGGTGTTGCCAATCATCGACCTATTCATAACACACGGCGGCAATAATTCGGTCACCGAATGTATGTATTTCGGTAAACTTATGATAGTGTTACCACTGTTTTTCGATCAGTTCGATAACGCACAGATAGTCGAGGACAGGGGTTATGGTATACGACTCAATCCATTCGAGTGCACTGAACAACAATTATTGCAATCAATTGACAAACTATTAAATGACACAAAATTAGCCGAAAAGTTGTCAAAAGCATCGCATAGAATACAAACTGAGAAACAAATTGAAAAAATACCGGAAATTATTGATAGATTAGTTAAAAATAAAAAATAATATTTGAAAAAAGTAAATTTCTTCAGTTTATTTACTTTTTTCTTTGATTAAATTTTTATAAACTTTAAGCTATTATTAAACAATAAGTTTTTGTGATTATATATTTTTAAACTAATTTTATCTATAATATTGTTTATGTAGTTTAAACAGATAGAAACAATTACATACTACTAAAGTAAATATAAACTTAATAAATGCAAGAATTGATTATATGTTACATTAAAAACTGTAATAAATTAATTATTGCTAATATAAATACTTAATGAGGACAGTTATGTATAAATCTAACTGTCCCATGTCGGTGGGACATATACTAAAATTGGAACGATACAGAGAAGATTAGCATGGCCCCTGCGCAAGGATGACACGCAAAATCGTGAAGCGTTCCTAATTTTTTTTTAATTTTAATTATTTTAGAATTAATCTAGGTTATTAATTAATTTTTTTTTATTTATTTAATATTGGTGTGAGCTATTCATTTAAGCTTTTTTTTTAAAAAAAATAATGTTTATATATATATATATATATATTTAAAAAAAAGTAAAATAACTAACCAATATATTAAATGTACTAGTATGATTATGTAACAAACAAATTAAAAAAAAAGTCTAAAAAAATTCAGATCAACAAACAAACAAAATACAAAAAATCAATAGTTAAGTTATGATTTATTATTATTATTATTTTAATTTTCAAAACATACAGTATTTTTTCAAATTGTCTTGCTAACTTATAATTAAATTTTTGATTTTTCAAACCGATTTTTATTTTTTTTTAAAACTATTATTTGTTGGATTTTTAATATAATTATATATATATATATATATATATATATATATATATATATATATATATATATATATATATATATATTTAGTAAATTGGATAACACTAACTGAAGTTGAGTAGTCAACCACAATAACCTATCTATTATTTTGACAGATATAGTCGCTTACATATCATAGACATATGTATATATAATATATACTGTATATCTAATTGCCTAAATAAAACACATATGTCTATGATATGTAAGCAACTATATCTGTAAAAATAATATATTGTATATAATATACAATACTATAACATCAAAAATTTAAAACATAATTCAATACTAGCGGTTAGGGACATGCAAACGTAATATTTTTTAAATGATAACATGCGAACAATTGCGAACATATGGGAGGGAGGGGGGTCTAGATTTCTTAAAAAGTGCAAACGTAATATGTTAACCACACCTTATTGAATAGTATAAACAGATAGAAACAATTATAAACTAAACTAAATGCATGATTGGATTATATATTATAAACAAAAATTTAACTATAAATTTAAAAACATTAAAAACTGTAATAAATTAATTATTGCTAATATAAATACTTAATGAGGACAGTTATGTATAAATCTAACTGTCCCGCGTCGGTGGGACATATACTAAAATTGGAACGATACAGAGAAGATTAGCATGGCCCCTGCGCAAGGATGACACGCAAAATCGTGAAGCGTTCCTAATTTTTTTTTAATTATTTTAGAATTAATCTAGGTTATTAATTAATTTTTTTAATTATTTATTTATTTAATATTAGTGTGAGCTATTCATTTAAGCTTTTTTTTAAAAAAAAAATAATGTTTATATATATATATATATATATATATATTATCAACAAAACAAACAAAATACAAATCAATAGTTAAGTTATTATTTATTTTTATTATTTTAATTTAAATAATAAAGTATTTTTTTCAAATTGTCTTACTTACTTACAATTAAATTTTGATTTTTCAAACTGATTTTTATTTTTTTATTTTTTAGTAAATTGGACAACACTTACTGAAGTTGAGTACTCAACAACAATAACCTAAATCTATTATTTTTTACAGATATAATCGCTTACATATCATAGACATATGTGTTTTATTTAAGCAATTAGATAAACAGTATATACCAGTGATCAAAATTAAACTTTATAAAACTAAATTGTACAAATAACCTAGTACATATTAAATGAGTAAGTGTTTGTTTAACTTACTCATTGTTTGTTATAAATTATTAAAATTACTATTAAATATCTGTTAAATTAGTTATGTTATATATGTATCACAAAGTTATCATGATAACACTTAATTGTGATCATTGGTATATACAATACTATAACATCAAAAATTTAAAACATAATTCAATGCTCTCTCTCTCTCTCTCTCCCAAAAAAAAAGCATTGAACAATGCATTGAATCATGTTTTAAATTTTTGAAGTTACAGTACATATCTAATTGCATAAATTAACACATTTGTATACTACTGTATATATTGTACTCTCTCTCTCTCTCTCTCTCTCTCTCTCTCTCTCTCTCTCTCTCTCTCTCTCTCTCTCTCTCTCTCTCTCTCTCTCTCTCTCTCTCTCTCTCTCTCTCTCTCTCTCTCTCTCTCTCTCTCTCTCTCTCTCTGTCATATAATTTATAATATACTTTATAATATATATAGTTGGACGCCGTTTCTGTACAGTTGGTTGAATCGGATCGCGAAAGAATTTTGGCCGAAATTAATGATGAATATCGACAAACGTTTGTGTCGGCCGTCGGCGGCTTTGGATTGCATATCGATATCAGAGAGATCAGCGGCGGCGCCAAAATCAATGTAATTATGAACAAAACCTACGGCCAGGACGTGGACAGTGTGTGCAACGATGAAACTCAGATCCGACGGGACATAACCGCTGCCATACAGAACTATAACGGCGTCTATTTGGGTATCTTTCCTCCGGATGCCGCCTTCAGGCACTGTGTTTTGCAACAAATCGGTACAAATTGTTTGACTATAGGTTTTTGATTGTCTTTAAAATTGTTGTTATTTTTGTGGATCACCAGAGCTGTTCCGGCGACCATCGCTCGCTTGTGTCGATTCGGTGGCGCTGGAGATCGCAAATACTGTCAAACATTGTGTCAATTCACTGGAAACCTATCCGACAATTAAGTACTTAATTATAATTTAAATTTATTTTTTATTTTTCTTACCGATAATTATACCGTTATTTTTTAAAAAGTGAAATTTACGCCAAACTGAGTCTGGATTATATACAAAAGTGTCGGAAAAAATGCAAAAAATATGTCGAACACTTCATACTAACGGAAAGGGCTTATCTGAACACCAATCACGAGGACTTTGTCAAAATGGACAGGTAGGTTGTAATTTGATTCAACTACATAAGCTTATTAACGTATATAGACATACAGTTACCGTAAAATCGTGTTTTATTTCCCATATGGAATTCAAAAAAAAAATGAAAAATAACATTTTCATATGGTAAAAAACTTTTTACCACCTCTGGTAATAATTAAGCACTAAATTATTATACAAAGTAAAAAAGCTATATTTTTCATATGGAAGAAAACTCGCATTATTTCCGATGACATTGACATTTCCATATGGGAAATAAAACACAATTTAACGGTAACTACATAAGCTTCTCCCATATGGAAATGTCAAAGTCATGGGGAATGATGCAAGTTTTCTCCCATTTGAAAATATAGTTTTTTTACTTTGTATAATAATTTACTTTATAATTATTACCAAGGGTGTTAAAAAAATGCGAGTTTTTTATCATATGAAAATGTTATTTTTCATTTCTTTTTTGTTTTGAATTCCATATGGGAAATAAACACGATTTTTTACGATAGTTTAAAAGTGTAAAATATTTGTTTTAATTTTTAACGATAATAGCACCGACACTTTATTAGTCAAAACAACTATTAGTAGTAGTGGTAGTAGTAGTACACCAACTGCTGCAGTCATCCCGCAGATCATTGATCGTCCGATAGCTGCCTCACGTGTTGGTGCCGGCGCCGGTAGTCTTAACACCTCTACTCGGAAAACAGCCAGCACCTGCTATGACGAATCGTTTACATTATTACCAGAAGAATCGGATCTATTGACACCATCGATCATCATCGGCACCAATATGTCACATGTGGATCAAATCAACATATTTGTCGAATCGTATATTTCGATATTGAAAAAAAAGTTTAAGTGAGTATAGGGATTGCAACAAAAGTTATTTGAATTTTAAATGTTTTTTTTATATATTTTAACTTTGATTTTTGTTCACCAGATTTAACTGTTTATATATATAATTATTTAATTAATTAATGAAATTATTTATTTTATATGACTTCTCTCTCTCTCTCTCTCTCTCTCTCTCTCTCTCTCTCTCTCTCTCTCTCTCTCTCTCTCTCTCTCAGAGATCATATTCCCAAACTTTGTACACTAGAGCTGATCGATTCGGTAAAAAAGTTTATAGCCGTCAAACTGGGGATTGAGATCAGAGATCGGATCCAATCGATTGGCGATATTGTCGGTGACAATACTGATGCCGACGATCAGCTCAGGCAAGAGTTAGAAAAACGTCAGCAACACTATAGAGAAGCCATTGATATACTGTCCCGTTATCGGGATAATTGGTGTCCTACATCATCGATGGCAAGTTTAAGTATCGACTAATTTATCTATATATTACAGCATAACTTGTTTTAAAAAGTATTCATATAATTAATGATAAGTTATTTTTTTCTAACTCAATATAAATTTTAATTGATTGCTCATTAAAATGAGAAAAGTTTTAACAAACAAACAAAAATACAAATCGATAGTTATATTGATCTAAAAATCGGAAAAAACTTACAAATTGTTGACAAACTTCACAATATTATTATTATTATGATTATTATAAATAGTAATTAATTATATCTAATAGTATATATATACTGTATTCATATCTACCGTAATCGTATTACTATATATTTTCATATAAATTAATTATATCAAATAATTTTTGTATAATTAATATTTTTTATCAAACAATATATATAATAAATTTATTTGTGTGTTTGTGTACTACTATTATAATTGTAATTAAAAAATACTAAGTATTAAAAATTATTTTTTTTGGTAATAAATACATACATATCAGTCATAACTCATACTTACATTTTATACCGTATAACACGTGTACTATTTTAAACGCCATTATCTTAACCACTGTTTTAATTGTTAACTATTGGTCGGGTCATCGGTATTGTATGGAGAAATAATAAAAAGGGATTAAAAATGTAATTTTTATATATATTTTAATTACAAAAAAATACACATTTACTATTGACTTGGACTCCCGATACTGAATAATAATTAATTAATTAAATCTTAAGTTAGTTATTAATAGCCTTTTTTGCTAAATTTTTAACAAAACATTCAATCACTATTTTTATTATTTATTTTCGGAAAAAGGGTTACAAAAAATTCAAGAAAAAATAATTAATAAATTTTATATCTATTGTATTACAACATTTAAATTAAACAGTTAAAATTCAATTTGAATATATTTTATAATTATTTGTATTCATCCAAACCTTGGTGGTAATTTTAATTCTCTAGCTATAAATGTTAAAAATATCAATTTGTTAATTTAAATCAATTTAAATTCAATCAATAAAAAAAATAAAAATTAAGTATATTACGTGGGACTTTTCCTAGTTTGACGTATAGCCAATATACCTTTTCTCTATCTTTACGCCACTTTTTCAAAGTTTCTTCAGGTACTAGATATTTATCAGGTATTTTTTGTTAAAATAATTTTTATTTTAATAGAATATTTTTCAAATATTGTTGTAAAACTGTATTTTTTTAGATTTCCCCCACTTATTATTAATAATTAAAAATTTTATTTTTTTAAATTTTATTTCCTTAGATTTTATAAATCAAGATTAAAAATTTAAAGAACTGATATTTAAAATAAAAAAACATTCGTGTTTGAATATAGGGGTAGGGTTGGCTTGTGTAGGGTGTGGTAGGGTTGGGTTGGGCTGGGTTGGATTGGGTAGGGTTGAGTCGGGTTGGGTTGTTTTAGTGTTGGGTAGGGTTTGGTAGAAACCTTGAGGTTTTTTTTAACTAAATATAAAAAAAGTGATCTGTCATTCATTACCTCCTCCTTCGGCTTCTTTTCTTCGTCTATCGGCTTCAAGCTCTTCCCAAGAAAGAACTTTTCTTTCTTTTAGTATAAAATTAATTAATTGAAAATAAATTTAATTTAATTGTGAGGATTAGTATGGAATATCAATTATAGTAATTAATAGATAATTAAAATCCTAAAATTAGTTAACATTTAGTTTTACTTACCATTTTCATCTTGTCTAGATGTGCTTGATACTATTTGATTTGAATTTTAACAATTAATAAATTAATTATAATTTAAATTATAATAAAACTTACGAAAAACAATGACAACGATTGCAATCAATACTACGAAACGATTCATTGTTTTCCAAAAAACTGTTTGATTTTATTTGTTTGAATTGAATTACAATACAATTCAATCACCGGTTTATATCAAATAATCGAAAAATTTGTTAAACTTATTAAAAATTATATAGAAATGAATTGACGTCAATTTTTAAAATAATTATTAAAGAAAAACATTTTTTTCTATTTTAGTTTTAAAAATGTAATTTTAAACCTTTATTTTACATTTAAATTTATTAGTTTTGTCTCAAAATGTGTTTTTAATTAAAAATTATAAAAATATTTTTATTTAAAAAATCAAATTTCATTATTAATCATATTAATAATATCAAAAATTATTATGTAATCAACAATAAAAAAAATTTATTTATAGTTTGGTTTTAAAGTTTCGATTTATTGGGAAAACATTTGCAAAAATCGTTTCGTAGTATTGGTTACAGTCGTTATTATTAATTTTTGTTATAATTAATTAATTAATTGTTTGTTTTAATTCACATCAAATAAATAATAACATAACGATTCAGTATAGGGATTGTAACAAAAGTGATTTGATTTTTAAATTTTAACATTGATTTTTGTTCACCAGATTTAACTGTTTATATATAATTATTTATTTAATTAATTAAATTATTTATTTTTCATGACTCTCTCTCTCTCTCTCTCTCTCTCTCTCTCTCTCAGAGAGCATATTCCCAAACTTTGTACACTAGAGCTGATCGATTCGGTGAAAAAGTTTATAGCCGTCAAACTGGGGACTGAGATCAGAGATCGGATCCAATCGATTGGCGATATTGTCGGTGATAACAATAATGATACCAACGATCAGCTCAGGCAAGAGTTAGAAAAACGTCAGCAACACTATAGAGAGGCCATTGATATACTGTCCCGTTATCGGGATAATTGGTGTCCAACTTAAGTATCGACTAAATAATCTATATATTACAGCATAACTAAGTTATTTTTTTCTAACTCAATATAAATTTTAATTGATTGCTCATTAAAATGAGAAAAGTTTTAACAAACAAACAAAAATACAAATCGATAGTTATATTGATCTAAAAATCGGAAAAAACTTACAAATTGTTGACAAACTTCACAATATTATTATTATTATGATTATTATAAATAGTAATTAATTATATCTAATAGTATATATATACTGTATTCATATCTACCGTAATCGTATTACTATATATTTTCATATAAATTAATTATATCAAATAATTTTTGTATAATTAATATTTTTTATCAAACAATATATATAATAAATTTATTTGTGTGTTTGTGTACTACTATTATAATTGTAATTAAAAAATACTAAGTATTAAAAATTATTTTTTTTGGTAATAAATACATACATATCAGTCATAACTCATACTTACATTTTATACCGTATAACACGTGTACTATTTTAAGCGCCATTATCTTAACAACTGTTTTAATTGTTAACTATTGGTCGGGTCATCGTTATTGAACGGAGAAATAATAAAAAGGGATTAAAAATGTAATTTTTATATATATTTTAATTACAAAAAAATACATAATTACTATTGACTTGGACTCCCGATACTGAATAATAATGCTCATTAAATGAGAAAAGTTTTAACAAACAAACAAAAATATACAAATCGATAGTTATATTGATATAAAAACCGGATATTTTTTTAACAATAAATTAAATAATCAAAAAAATAATTATTACAAACTTTTATTGTAACTTATAATAATGTTAAATCAAATAAAATATAACAAACCGTTAAACTTAAAATTATGTATAATTTGTTACATTTATATAATTTTCAAATATTAAATTTATTTAGATTTGGAAAAAGATATTTAAAACATTATTTTTATATCTTTTTTATTTATTTATTTTTTTTAGCAAAATATAAATATATATTACTTATTATGTATGATTTTATATTATATTTAATCGATACACAAATTTAAATATGAAACTAAATTGTCAACAAAAAAAAATGTTTTATTAATAAAAATAATTATTTATCAATAAATAATATTTATTAAGTATTATTTTTTTTAATTACCGAAATATTGTAATTATTTGGAAAAAAAACTTACAAATTGTTTGACAAACTTAACAATATTATTGATATTATTATAAATAGTAATTAATTATATATTATTTTAAAGTTGAAATTAAATTTATTAGTCAATTATACTGTAAACTTATATACAATTTATATTAATATACAATAAAAAAAATAATACTGTATTTAGAAAGTAAATAATAATAAATAATAATTTTTTTTAAATATATAACTCTTAAATAAATATCATATAATAATTAAATTCAAAACATTATTAGTTTTATTTTTTTTTAAATAAATAAATATAAGGAAACTATCCGTAAATATGTGAATAACCTTCAAAAAAATAACATTATTATTTTTATACCTTATATAATGTAGTAAAATATTATATATAAATTAAATGTTATGATTATTATTCAATTTTTTCTAGCATTTGTAATAAACTGTTTTCATTTATACCAAATCATTATAATTATAATAATAATACCGTTTTCTCATAAATTATTACTACTGTTGTTTAAAACAGTAAAAATAATAATAATACTGTATATACAGTATATGTATTTATTTATTTATTGTGTCTAATAGTAATACTTTATTATATATTTTTTTTGACTGTTTATATAAACTTTTAAATTTCAACTTTAAAAAGAGTGCAACATAATAAAAATTTTATTTAAAAAAAATAAATAAATATTATCGGTAGTCATATTACTAAACTTGTTTGTTTGAAAAAAAAGTTTTTTTAACTGTAGTTTTTTTTTTAATTATTAAAGGGAATATGGTATCTACAAAAAAAATAATAATAAATAAATACTAAAAACAACTAATATTTCATCTTATCATATGAATGCCAACTTTTTATACATGTATTATACTGTAGCACATGTACACTGAATGGGTTGTCACTACAGTATTTATTTACTATACAAGCGCCCACTGGTAGGTTGGGTCTCTCTCTCTCTCTTTCTCTCTCTCTCTCTCTCTCTCTTCTCTCTCTCTCTCTCTCTTTCTCTCTCTCTCTCTCTTTCTCTCTCTCTCTCTCTCTCATAAAAATATTGCACACATAAACACACACTCATATGATTGTAGCACTAGTATGAAACATGTCTAACAGATATATACAACCTAACTGTGCGCCTGTTTATTAAAAAAAAAGTCATCTGATATTTATTTGTTTTCAATGACTCATCCCATCCATGTATTAGTTTATTATAAAATTTAGTTTAGTTTAGTAGTTATTTCATCACATAATTTGTTGCAACAAAATAATATTCATAAAGTTTTTAAATATTTAAATTTATTATTATTATTATTTTTACATCATTGTTATACTGTAGTTGGTTGTTATATAAGTTATACTGTTAAAAAAAATTTTAAAGTTACCTTGGTGTTTTTATGTTTTGATAACTTTTATTATTATTGTGACATTTAATGTGTGCGTGTGCAAATTTTGTTATTATTTATTTTTGTTAACTATTAATATGTATAATATTAAATAAATAAATTAAAAAAAAAATAATTAACATTTCATCAAAAAAAAAATATTTATTTAATACATATTTTTTTTAATTATTATTAATTATAAAGAGAGTTAATATGTGTTAATAATGTTTATTTTATATAATATTTATGATTAAAAAATTATTAATAATATTATTATTATTATTATTATTATGAAAATATCATTAGTAATGAAACATTTTAAAATATTTTTATGCGTAATATTATTTAATAATAATAATTATTATTATTTTATAATATATCATATATTAATACTTAATAATATTATATTTTTTGTTGTAATATATTGTACTTAAAATCAAAAATTTATTGACTTTATTATAATCACCAAAAAAAATAGTTTTTTTTCTTTCGGATTTTTCAATGACCGCAATCACGACAACATCAACAACAATGTCCGGACAAAATAGTGGCCAAAATCTTATCAAAATAGTCAACGAACTGCAGGACAAACTCCATGAACTGGGCGTCAATAGTCTGGCCATAGATTTACCTCAAATTGCCGTAATCGGTGGCCAATCGGCCGGTAAGTCTTCGGTATTGGAAGCGTTTGTTGGCCGCGATTTTCTACCCCGTGGTTCGGGTATTGTCACACGTCGGCCACTGGTCTTACAGTTGATCAACGATCGGGTTATTAGTCAGCGTAAGTGTCGGACAACAACACAATTGTGTTATTATTTTCCCGTAATTTTAATAATTATTAAAAAACTTATAATGTTTTTTCTTATAGCTTACGGTGTTTTCACACATTTAAAGGACAAACGATTTCACGATTTCAGCGAAATATGTCGCGAAATAGTTGCCGAAACCGAAAGAGAGTGTCCCGAAAGTACTGGCATATCGGCCAAACCGATTGGCCTAAAAATTCATTCACCAGACGTACTTGATCTGACACTGGTTGACTTGCCTGGTATGACTCGGGTGCCGATCGGCAAACAACCGAAAGATATTGAATCGCGAATCGAGACTATGATACTCGAGTATATCGGCAAAGATAACTGTCTAATACTGGCCGTGACGGCCGCCAATCAAGGTATTACCGACTCATATAGTATTACCGAAACTAAGTTATTTAATTACCGTATGTTTTGTTTTGTTTTCGACCAGATTTGGCCACATCTGACTCACTGAAACTGGCCGAACGTGTAGATCCGCGCGGCGAACGCACAATAGGCATACTAACCAAACTTGATCGTATGGATGCCGGCACCGATGCCCGCGATATATTGACAGGCAATTACGGTATCAATTTGAAACGTGGTTTTATCGGTGTAGTCAATCGATCGCAACAGGACATCGATGCCCGCAAATCGATGACCAGTGCCTTAGATGATGAACAGCGATATTTTCGTCAGCATCCGGCCTACAGAGATCTGGCCGATCGGCTCGGCGTACGCTATTTGCAACAATATTTGCACAAAGAACTGGCCGAACATATCTACCGATTGCTGCCGCCGCTGGTCAAACAATTTGACGAAGAGCTGTCCGAAATTGACCAGAAATTGGACGCCGTTTCTGTACAGTTGGTTGAATCGGATCGCGAAATGATTTTGGCCAAAACTAATGAAGACTATCGACGAAAGTTTGAGTCGGCAATCGGTGGCCTTGGCTGGCATATCGATGTCAAACGGCTGAGCGGCGGCGCCAAAATCAATGTAGTTATGAACGAAACCTACGGCCAGGACGTGGACAGTGTATTCAGCGATGAAACTCAGATCCGACGGGACATAACCACTGCCATACAGAACTATAACGGCGTCTATTTGGGTATCTTTCCTCCCGATGCCGCCTTCAGGGCCTGTGTTTTGCATCAAATCGGTAATTGTTTTAAACCAATTAGTTATTAATTTTTATGAAAATTAATTTTATTATCTTAAACTGTTTGGTATTGTTTTTTGTGGATCACCAGAGCTGTTCCGGCGGCCATCGCTCGCTTGTGTCGATTCTGTAGCCCTGGAGATCACAAATATTGTCAAACGTAGCGCCAATTTGCTGGAAACCTATCCGACAATTAAGTAATTAATTAATTAGTTTTTTTGTTATCTAATTTATTTTGTTTACCCGTAATTACCGGTAATATTCATTACGATTTTCATTACGATATTTAGGGAAATATATGCCAAACTGAGTCTGGATTACATACAGGAGTGCCGTAAACGATGCAAATCCTATGTCGAGCACTTCCTGCGCACGGAAATGGCTTATCTGAACACCAATCACGAGGACTTTGTCAAAATGGCCAGGTAGGTTGTAATTTAATTCAACTCTACATAAGCTTATCATATTATTGATTTAGTTAAGTATTGTTGTTAAATATATTTTTGTTTTGTAGTGGAATTAATTTTAGCGATTATAGCACCGACAGTGTATCAGTCAAACCTCCATCAACTGGTGTCACACCTCCTCCACAGATCACTGATCGTCCGATAGCTGCCTCACGTGTCGTGAACACTGGTAGCTCAGGTGGCAGAGGCGGCGGCACCGGTAGTCTAATTGCCAACACTATGGCCCGCAATCAGAAAGCGGCGGCAATCGCGACGACGCCGAAGACCAGCACCTGGTATGACGACAACCAACCGTTTACACTATTGCCAGAAGAATCGGATCTGATATCAGCTGGTCTTCAATTGCCAAATAATAAACAAACTATCCTTAATAACAATACTACTACTACTGCTGATGATAATATTAGCTTATGTAGCTATGATAGTATACCACTACCTGGCTATATGGTTACACAAGTGGATCAAATTAAATTGTTGGTCGAATCGTATATTTCTATATTGAAAAAAAAGTTCAAGTAAGTAGTATAGTATAGTATAGTGATTGCAATAAAAGTCATTTATTTTTTTTATGTATTTCCATATATTCCCTGTAATGAAGTTCCCGCTAAATGATACTTATTTTTTTTTTGTTACTTAACTAAATAATTTTGTTGTTGTTGTTGATATAGATGTTTAGCATTTGTTTAGTAATTTAGGTGATGTTAATTAAGTTTTAAAAATAATAGTAAGTTAGTGTAGAAATTTTCTAGTGGTTTTTAGAGGAAATTGTTGAATAATAATAATATGTAATTTATATATTATTTTTAATTTAAAATGTATCAATGAAATAGACCGCTAAAAACTATTATGATATTTTTAATTCACTTAATAAGATAAGATTTTTATAATTAAGTTTAAGATAATTTAAAATATTATTTTTTTTGGAGGAAATTAAAATTAATTTTATTAATGTTTCGGGAAAATTATGCGGGAATTTTTGTTTCTAAAAACACATTTATATTACAGTAATATTACAGTTTATTATTATTAACAGTTTATCTAATTATTTAATTAATTAATAATTTATTTTTTATTACAATCTCTCTCTCTCTCTCTCTCTCTCTCTCTCTCTCTCTTTCAGAGATCATATGCCAAAACTTTGTACACTAGAGCTGATCGATTCGGCCAAACAGTTCATAGCCATCGAAATGAGGATTGGTGTCAGAGATCGGATCCAATCGATTAGCGATATTGTCGGCAATACTGATGCCGACGATCAGCTCCGGGAAGAGTTAGAAAAACGACAGCAACACTATAGAGAGGCCATTGATATACTGTCCCGTTATCGGGATAATTGGTGTCCAACATCATCGATGGCCAGTTTAAGTATCGACTAATTTATTTTTTATATATATTTGCATATCTGATCATATATTTACATACAAATTAATTATATCAAAAAAAAAATTATATATTTTATAAACAAAAAAAAGTTAACTATTAAATTGTTTGTGTGTTTGTATGTATGTTTCATTATTAAAAAAAAATTACTGTACTTAAAAAAATAAGTAAATTTAAATAAATTTATTTTATAATATAATAATAAATAAAATATATTTTTGTCTATTTATTAATTATTTTTTTTAGTAAACAATAGTATGGTTTATTAAAATTATAAAATATTATAGTCATTGACCAAAATTTAAGAGAAGTATTTTTTTTCTTAACAGTTTAAATGTATTTATTATTAATTTTATTTATGTTTATTTTGCTAACTTTTTTATTAACCATTTTATTAATTATCAAATTAGATCTACTCTAGCAATATATTATATGTTACACTAATGTATTTGTAATATACAAAAATGAAATCTAATTCATATTATATAATAATTATCAATTTTTTGTTATATTTAATAACCATATTTTTTAATGATATGTTTAGTATAATTATTCTACATATTAGTAATAATAATATTAATTGGCATTTGATATAAATTTATAGATAGTATAACATTTGTTAATTACTATTAATATATTACTCAATAGTTATAATTATTATTATTTTTTTATTACTGATACATAAATTTGAAAGTAAACTATTATATTAGTTGTATATTTGTTTATTTTATCATATGATAAATAAGTTAATTTAAGTTTAGTAATTAATGTTTATTTAACCAAATTTATTTTTTTATAAAGTTAATGAAAATAATTTTTATTTAATATATAATATATATAAATATATATTAATAATTTAGTTTTATTTATAATTTAATAGAAATAACCAGTAATTATATTATTATTATTTATAGTATTTTATTATTATTAAAAATATTTTTTTTAAATAATTTTTTTTTAATAAAATATTAATTTATTAAATTTTTATTTTGGTTTGGTTTGTTAGTCAATTTTATATAACAAATATTTTTTGTAAAAAAACAATAATTGTTATAATAACCACAATGAAAATTAATATTAAAAGGGACTGGGATCAATATTTTTACACTATTTACTTAATATTTACAACAATGGTTCTGGTAAGTACAGTACAGTACAGTACAATAAATAAATTAATTAATTCAATATATAAAAATTGAAAAATTGAAAATGTTGTAATATATTTTTTGTTTATCTTAAATTATATAAAGCATAAAACACTTTTAAAAAAATAATTTTATACTAATTATAATCTATTTATTTATTTATTAATAATTTTTTGGTGGATTTTTTAAGGGTATAATGTTTTCATTAATTTCGACAATTATGGTTGAAATGCAATACATATTTCAAACATCAATGACAATGATATCATTGTATCAGACAGTAGAGCCAGTGGGCTATATTGTCGGCACATTTGGTATAATAATACTAATTATTATTATTTAAAAAAAATCCTTAATATTTAATAATAATTAACATTATATTATCATTTTGTTGATGTTGTTGTGTATTATTGTCTTTTTTGACAAACAGTTGGTCTAACATATCGATACCTAAACCGACAACTAGTGGTCGGCATATTTTTTATCATACTTATCATTGCCAAAATTGCCGTACCATTTGTACCAAATCTACCGATGCTCTACGTATGCGCCATCGTATCGGGTCTATGTTCCAGTATTATTATGTCATCGTATCCGGTTTGGACTATAGAGTTATGGCCAACCAGTAGTGCACCCGTACTCTACATCGAGGACTTTACCTATGGTATCGGTTCGACACTGACTGCCGTTATACTCAAACCATATCTGACCGGCAAAGTGGCCGCCGATGTAGTGGTCGATAGACGTACAAAACTTATGTGGTCATTCACTGTGATAGGACTATGTGCTATTTTAGGTGGGTGTTCTCGATTTATTTTTAAGGTTATTATATAATAATTTCCATTGGCTACAGTTCCTCTATCATCGTTGATCATGTACTTTATTATGCCGTACAAACATAACAAACACCGGTCATCAGGGTTAGGGTCGTCGTTGACGAACATTGTTGATGAGGAGGAGGAGGAGGAGGAGACTCAATCAATTGCTAGCACTATAACATCAACAACAAACAGTTATAATTCAATTGACGAAACAATAGATAACAATAATAATAATAATAGACAACTAACTGAGCCGCCGGTAGTCAAACTATTTGATCGACCGGACACACCGGGCACTGTAATGCGGGTACTGTTCATTGCCTGGAGTACGGCATACATCATGTTTCACATGGAGTTCAATAAGTTTTTGTTTACATATATGCAAAAATCGCCGCTTCAGTTGTCACCGCAAACCGGTTCCGACATTATTATGGCGTCCACATCGGTCTATACAGTCTTTACGGCCATCAATGCTATCCTAACCGTACGTTTGGGCGTCAATCCGGTTATCTACTGTCACTACGCTGTACTAGTAGTAGCCGCCTGTCTACTGATAATTGGCCACTACTATCTGATTGGTCTATGGATGGCCTCTCTGTTGATGTATTGGGGATTTTCGGCCATGTTTTCCGGTGTCTACGCTTTTACCCAACAGTATGTTAGTTATACCAATAAATTTAGCACCGGTATTGTGTTAGCCCGGGGCGTATTCCGATTGTTTACCCCATTACTAATCGGCACGTTTATCGACGACCATTCCTATGTGTTTATACTAATTGCATGGATTTATTTGTCGATATCAGTGGCAATATTTTTGTTGATTATTTGGTTTATTAGACGATATCAAAATCAATTGATCAATTAATTTGTTTTTAAAAATAACAATTTTAGCAGCAATTAATTTTTTTTATTTATATATCATAATAATATTATTTAAATATTTATTATTAACTATAAAAAATTAATATTAATAAAAGAAAACTTATAAATTTATAAAAACTTATATATATATACAATATAATTATAATTAATAAACTTTATATAAAAAATTAATGATTTTAAAAAATAATAATAATTAAATAGTATTAGTACAAAAATTTATTTTTTTTAAAAAACATTAGATTCAATTTTTAAAATGTTATAGTCGCCTATGATAATCATTAATTTTTAAAATTGAAATATCATTTACTAGTTGCAGATAAAAAAAAATATATCAATTTTATATATTTATATTATGCTTATATACAGTATTAATATTATAAATGATTTTTTAAAAGTTTTTAATGACAATATTTATCACAAATATATAATAATGATATTTTACAACTTAAACAAAAAATAAATAAAAATAACTTATTTTTGTTTATATACACTTATTTTCTAATAATAATAATAATATTTAATTTGATAATAATAATAATTTTTACATAGATTTTTCAAATTTATAAGCAATGACTATAATAATTTTTTATATATATATACATTATATATAATATAATCATAAAACTATTCAATGATATATCACATTATTTTATTTTTCCTATTAATTTATTGAATCATCTAAAAAATTTTTTTTTTTGAACATTATTATACTTATATTTTAATATAATATAAAAATACTATCAATATATCTTTTATAAATATTGATAAAACTTTATTTTTATAAATAATTATTATGTAAATTTAATTAATTATACAAATTATAATAATAAGTTTATTATTATTATTTAAATTTATATATTTTATTAAATTATATTAGTATTGTATATATAATATATAAAAATAATAATTTTATCAACAATGAAAATTAATATAAATTGTGTTGATATTAAACGGGACTGGGATCGATATTTTTACACTATTTACTTAATATTTTCAACATTAACTAAAGCAAGTAATCGGTATTTAATTTTTTTTTTAAAAACACAATTTTTATTATAATTATATATTGGAAATTAAAAATAAATAAAATCTTTATACTGTATTTATAAAAAAAATTTTTATTATAATTGTTTCAATTATTTATTTATTTCAATTATTTTTAATTATGTCTATTAATTAAAGGGAATTTTGCTTTCATTATTCCCAACAATTATGGTTGAAATGCAATACATTTTTGATACCACATCGACAATGATGTCATTGTATCAGACATTGGAGACAGTGGGCTATATTATGGGCACATTTGGTATTTTATTAAATTTAAAATAACTAACATATAGCATAATACCATTATTAATATTATTAAATTTATATATATATTATAAGATTTTTTGTTTGTTTGTTAATCTAAAAAAAAGTTAGTCTAACCTATCGATACCTGAACCGGCAACTAGTTATGGCCATAAGTTTTGCCTTAATGACCATTGCCAACACAATATTGCCAATTGTACCAAATCTACCGGTACTATATGTTTGCGCAGTCATATCGGGTTTCGGTTCAAGTGTTGTCATAGGATCGTATACCGTATGGACCCAGAAATCTGCACCCGTACTCTACATCGAGGACTACAGTCTCGGTACGACACTTGCTTCGGCTATACTCAAACCGTATCTGACTGGCAAAGTGGCCGATGGTGTAGTGGTCGATAGACGTGCAAAACTTATGTGGCCGTTCATTGCAATAGGAATAGCTGTCATTGTAGGTAGGTGTGCACATCCCATCCCATTACCCAAATAAAGTCATTTACTATTATTTTAATGTAATCATTACATGAACACACATACTGTAAATACAGTTTCCCTGTCATCGTTGATCATGTATTTTATTAAACTATACAAACAACTCATTAGACAACAACAACATATTACAGGACAGTCGGCATACATTGAAAAAGTTATGTCCATTACAACTACTACTACTACTAATAATAATACAATAACCACTCATGACTTAAAAGAGGAAACAGTAGATAATAGTGATGAACAACAACAACAAGTAGTTGTTAATAGAGACAAATTGTTTGACCGACCGGACACACCCCAGATATTGATGCGGGTGCTGTTCATAGCCTGGTGTACGGCATACTTATTGTTTCATACAGAGTTTCATAGTTTTATTTTTGCATACATGCAAAAATCACCGGTTCAGGTGTCGCCCCAAATCGGTTCCGATATTATAATAGTGTCGACATCGGTGTGCACTGCATTTACAGCCATCAATTCCGGACTAACACTACGGTTCGGACTAAATCCGGTTATTTATGTCCACTACTCGATAGTAGTAGTGTCCGGCTGTATACTAGTGATTGGCCACTACTATCTGGCGGCTCTATGGGTGGCCAACATATTGTTTTGTTTGGGTTCGTCGGCATTGTGTGTCGGCATCTATTCGTTTACCGATCAGTACGTTTCGTTGACCAACCAGTTGATTACCGGTATTAATCTGGCACGAGGTATATTCATAGTGTTTACACCGATAATTATCGGCCAGTTTATCGATGACCACTCGTATGTGTTTCTAATAGTTGAATTGTTTTATCTGTTGCTGTCTATTGTGTTATTTTTGGTGATTATATATTTGATTAGACTATACGGAAAAAACTGACTAATTTTTGATTAAAAATATATAACCATTTTTTTTTAAATATTTGTATGTAAAATTAAAAATATTTTAATAAATTAAAATTTAAAATCTTCAAAAATATTACATTTATTCATAATTTAAGTTATACTTGTACTATATTTTTTTAATAGAAAATTAGTTTAATATACAAAATATTTTTTTTTATAAATTTATATAAATATTTTGTATATAATTTTATCAATTTTAATTAATAGTAATTAATAAAATAGTAGCAATAATAATTGTAGCAATAATAAAAATAATAATTTAAATTGTATACTTAAAATATGTTACTTACTATAATACAGTTTAATAATTTTGTTTTAATATATTCAAACAATTATCAAAATTGTCAATTATTATTACGGTATATAAAAAAAGTGATCTATTAATAATTAATTGCTATTTATTATATTATGTTATATTATACTAATATTAATAAAATTTACTGTATATTATGCTTTTATATTTTTATTGCTATGAGTTTTAATTTTAAATAACTTTTTTTTCTTATCAAAATTTGCCATAAAATTTTATAACTGATATTTAAAATTATACTATTCATATTTAGTATATACTTATCTATAGATATAATAAATTGTTTTAATATTTTATTTAATTAACTTTTGCTTTTATTCTAGTTGTATAAATTTTATGACAATTAAGTGTAAAATAATTATAAAATTTTATTAATAAAAAATGATTAAAATACAGTAGTATCACAATTATGATATAATAAATAAAATATTATTATTTTTATTATTATTATTATTATTATTATTATTATTATTATTATTATTATTATTATTATTTTAGTAGTAGTAATAGTAGTAGTAGTATAATTAATTAAATAATTTTATACAATTTTTTTGTGTCTAAACTAGCTAAATTTTTTTTAATATAATATTAATTATAATGTGATTTATCATATTTATATACTAATATATTAATTTCACAATTAAATTTTCACAACAACAAGAAAATAATTTTATCCAAAAAAAAAAAAAATGAAAATCAATATAAATTATATAACCAATATTAAACGGGACTGGGATCAATACTTCTATACTATTTATTTAATATTTACAACATTATCTTTAGTAAGTATTTTATTTTATTTTTGTTAAAAAAATATATTTTTTAAATGTATATAATGTATATATAATGTATATACTGTATATTTTAGAAAACGATTTTTTAATACTTTATTTAAATTTTAGTAATTATTTCTTTTCCTATTTTGTTGTTATAATTAAAGGGACTTTTATTTTCATTATTTCCGAGAATAATGGTTGACATGCAATATATTTTTGATACATCAATGACTATGATGTCATTGTATCAGACACTGGAAACAGTGGGCTTTATTGGGGGTACATTTGGTATGTATTGTATAGTTAGATAAAATTAATTTTATTAATTTTATTAACATTTTGTTTGTCAAACAGTTGGTCTAACATATCGATACCTTAATCGACAACTAGTAGTTGCCGTATGTTTTGTCATACTGGCCATTGCGACAGCCGTATTGCCTGTCCTACCAAATCTACCGGTGCTCTATGTTTGCTCAATAGTTTGGGGCTTCTGTTTCAGTGTTATCATGTGTTCGTATACCGTATGGACGGTAGAGTTATGGCCAACCAGTAGTGCACCCGTACTCTACATCGAAGACTTTGCCTACGGTATCGGTTCGACACTGGCTTCGGCTATACTCAAGCCATATCTAACTGGCAAAGTGGCCGCCAATGTGGAGGTCGATAGGCGTTCAAAACTTATGTGGCCGTTCATTACAATAGGAATATGTGTTATTTTAGGTGGGTGCTCATTAATAAAATTTTTTTTACTACTATTGATTATTTTTTGTAAACCTTTTAATTGTACAGTTCCTTTATCATCGTTGATCATGTACTCTATAAAACCATACAAACAACTTAATAGACAACAACACCCACAACAGTGTTTAGGACAGTCAGCAAAAAATGATGAGAAGGCTGTGCCTAACATTATTACTACCAAAACAAATGATAAATTAGATAATAGTGGTATTGCTGATGTAGTTGATGGACAACTACCTGCTGAGACAACAACGGTTGTCAAACTGTTTGATCGATCGGACACACCGGGCACTGTGATGCGGGTGCTGTTCATAGCCTGGTGTACGGCATACGTACTGTTTCAGACGGAGTTCCTTATGTTTATGTTTACATATATGCAAAAATCACCGGTACAGGTATCGCCGCAGATTGGCTCCGACATTATGATGGTATCGACATCAGTGTATACAGCATTTACGGTAGTCAATGCATTGTTAACAGTACGAGTGGGCGTAAATCCGGTTATTTACGGACACTACGCCATAATACTAGTGGCTGCCTGTGTACTGGTGATTGGCCACTACTATCTGGTAGCCCTATGGGTAGCCTCTGTGTTGTTGTGTTGGGGTTTTTCGGCAATGTTTGCCGGCGTCTACGCGTTTACTTCTAAATACGTTTCGTTGACCAACCGATTGAGCACCGGTATTGTTATGGCACGCGGTGTATGCAAACTGTTTACACCGATAATCATCGGCCAGTTTATCGATGACCACTCGTATGTGTTTCTAATAGTTGAATGGTTTTATCTGTTGCTGTCTATTGTGTTATTTTTGCTAATTATTTGCTTAATTAGACGATACGAAAATAAAAATGTTTAATTAAATAAAGTTTTACAAAGTTTTTATAAATGGATAAACTAATTAAATTTATTTATTGTTACTATTATTTTTAATTATTATTAATTGTTATATCAAAATTTACAATTGTTTTTATATTTTATAACTGATACATAAAATTTTCATATTTTTAATTTTTGTAGATTTATAGTTAATATATAATTTTTAATTACTAATGATTTTATTAAAATAAGTTTAAATTAAGTTTTTTCTATTAGTTACTCGTCATTATCTATTGATAACTACATTTTAATTATAATAGTAATGATAATAATAATAATAATAATAATAATAATAATAATAATAATAATAATAATAATAATAATAATAATAATAATAATAATAATAATAATAATAATAATAATAATAATAATAATAATAATAATAATAATAATAATAATAATAATAATAATAATAATAATAATAATAATAATAATAATAATAATAATAATAATAATAATAATAATAATAATAATAATAATAATAATAATAATAATAATAATAATAATAATAATAATAATAATAATAAATACTTTTCAGTTACATAGATATTATTGATAAAATAAAATGATACAAATTATTATATTTGTGAAACTTTTATGAAATAAATAATTAACAAATATATTTTTTTAAAACAATTATAATTTAATTTTTATTAAAACAATATTTTTAATTTATTAAAAATCATTAATAAAATGATATATTTTTGTTACATTATTTTATATAAAAATGTTTTCAGTTAACTATTGTAATATTAATTGCAACGATTGTAATATTATAGATATAATATTGTTATTATTTTGATTTCTATTATATAAATATATTTTGTTACAATTGTATTTGTTTTGTAAAATTTTATGAATCATATATATATATTTTTTTAATACTTATATAAGTTTAATAAATAAATATTACTGTAAAAACTAATTAGATAACAATTAGATATTTATTAAAAAAAACTATTTTTAACTTCTATATTTAACTTACATTAATATATAGTAATTATAATTAGATAATAATGATTAACTAATTATTGAATTTTTTTAATAATTTATTTTTTTTTAAAATCAATAGTAACTGAAAATAAAATTTATTATATCTCAAATAAATATATACAAATAATATCAATATTTTTTAAAAAAAATTAATTTAAATCCTAAATGACACATTAAAAATATATAAAGAAAAATAAATAAATGTATTATTGAAAAAAAATTGAAAACATTTATTTATCTTATAAAAATTATAATTAATCAGAGGACATATTTTTTATAACAATTTTCTGCAATAAAAACAATAAATATTATTTAAACACTTATTGTAATATTATACAAATTTTGCTTTTAATTATCAAAACCGTTAGTTTATAAATAATATTTATATAAAAACAAAAATATTATATATAACTGTATATCAATTGTTATTGTATGAATTGAAAATAAAAAAATCAAAATCGTAATATTATTTATATATATATACCGTATATATATATATATTAAAATAATCATTAATTAAAGGATATACTTTAATAAACATTTAAAACTATTTATACTAATACTAATCGTGATAAATGTTAGAGAAATAATATTATATAAAAAAGTTATTTTGTCTAAAACAATGTTGTGAACAATGTAAATGATTATTTATAAATTTCAATATTATAAATATACTGTATATACTTTACATATAGATATTTTTTTAAAAAAATTATCACTAAAATAAAATGTTTAGTTGGTTTTTTGTAATTTATTTGCTAATAATGGTGATGATAGTTAATAGCACCACCAACAACAACAACAGTGTAACTGGGTCTAATAATAATATAATTGATGACCTTGATAACTTTACTAAATGTTACAATATTACAGATGAAAATAAGTTTATTAATCAAATTATTGAATCTCGTAATTATTATTATAAGGCATTTATAATAAGCACATCACTACTGATGACAGTTTCAACGATAGGACTGGCCATTGGTTTGGCCATCATTTATAGACAACGCATCCGTAATAATAGACGTGCTATCCATTGGATTAGTATTGGACGCGAATTATTGAATCCATCGTAAAATATTAAGAATTTTATTATAATTAAAATAAATTATATTACATCATACAGTTATCATATATATATATTATTAATGTTATATAATATTATTGCAATAAAAAAATAAAAATATTTTAATGTAATATTTTTTTAATTAATAAAATATGTAAATCAAAATACTGATACTTTAATTTATAAAATTTTATAAAAATTTATTTCTAATTTAACTATTGTATTTTAATTTAAATAAAATAATAGTATTAATATTAATTAATTAGTATTATTATGTATGCTATCAATAATCCAATCGACAAACCATGATACCCTTACAAACATTACATAAACACTGTCAACGATTTCATCACATTTGTAAGTAATAGTATTGCGGCCATGATGTATGCCAATCAATACGGCCCTACCGTTTACATACTGATACACTGGACTACCAGAATCACCCTATAGATAGACAGATAATTAATTGTACACACATACACATACACATACACATACACATACACATACATACCGCACATGAAAAGGTGCCATTATATGATGGATACCGTTCCCCGAGTATAATCATACGCCAAAAATCTCTGGCATTATTGTATGGTTTCTTAATCCTAATGTAACCAATTTTAAGTCTATCACTTTTCTCATTTCTGTTTACTAAACCATAACCGGCCATCAGTGCCAACTCATCCTCGCTATTGAGTGCATCCAACGGTGGCAAACATATACCGTTCAATAGAGTCCGATAGTTAAGACCATTAATGGACAGTTGGCTGCTAAGCGGTAAGTCAGCTGTAAGTTTGATGAGTGCCATATCGTAAGCCGGGAATCGTCTCCTGGGATACTTGTAATGGACAACTGTTTTCTCAATATTATAACCATTTTCATAATCATTGTCGTCGATAAACAATTTGCCCGGGTAGATTGTTAGATCACTAATAGCAAATCCACTATAATTTGTATTTAATAATAATACAACAACAACAACAACAACAACAACAACAACAACAACAACAAATATATTACATTATTAGTATTATTGTTAATATAAATGTTATTTTTTTTTAATTTATCTAAATATATAATTATCAAAATATTTTACTATTAATATTATTATTTAATTAATATTTATAGTTTTTAAATTTTTATAAATAATTAATAAATTAATAAGCTATATTATTACAAAATTTATTTCAAAAATGTATTTAGTTATAAGTTAGTTACTTTTATTTTAAAATATAAACACTTTATAAATATATATATATATATATAATTAATTATTTTATTTACTATACTACGTGAGCTGCTGTTAATATCCACCGATTGTTTAATATGACACCCGATCCATGACCAACAATGAATCCACTGATAAATTTAATTATTAATTATTTTTTTAGAAAATTATTTTTTAAAACATCAATATAGTTATGTAATTTTTTAATTAATTAATTAATTTTTGTTTTGTTTATTTACTCCCTGTAAACAATCCATACGGCAAACGGCACTTCACCCGGTCCTGCAATGCGTCCATTATTCAGTTCACGGGTTAGACTTTGATTGGATAACCATTGAAAACATTTGCCGTTTGCCAGCAATGATTGTCGACCGATACCACACTGAGGGACAGTTATGTTTCGATAGTCAACGATATCAATGGTTGACCAGACATTTGTGTAAAAACACAACAACAACAACAAACATATTAGTATTATAAACATTTGGGAAAACAATTATTTTAACTATAATTTTATATACGATATTTTTTTAATAATAAAACTAATAGTAATAATTATACTAATAATTTTAATAAAAATAGTAAAATACAATTATGAATTTTTTTCAAATATAAGCTTATTATATGTTTTCATATTAACTTAATATTATTTATATATAAATATTCATATATATATATTTAAATATCAAATTTTTATCAGAATTTTTGTTAAAATTATAGATATTTTATTACATTATTTTAATTGTAATATGATTACTGTCTATTTTTAACATATAGGTAATTTTTAATTTTTAAGTTGAATATTTTAAATAAAATATTATTTTTAGATGAGCTTTAACTATTTTATTTATTATTAATTAATAATTAGATTCATATAAATTTTAGAAACATAATAACACTAAAATAGTATCAATTAAAATTAAAAATTTTATAAAGATCAAAAAAATTTTGACCCCTCCCCTTGCTTATACCTGATACTGTATATATATATATATATACTGTATTATATGATTTTTATTTGTTTGTTAATCAAAAAACAGTTAGTCTAACCTGATCGATACCTGAACCGGGCAACGAGTTATGGCCATAGCCAACACAGTATGGCCAATTGTACCAAAATCTACCGGTGCTTTAAGTTTTGAACTGTCATATCGGGCTTATGTTCCAGTGTTATCATAGGATCGTATACCGTATGGACCCAGAAATCTGCACCCGTACTCTACATCGAGGACTACAGTCTCGGTACAACAATTTTTGCGGCTATAATCAAGCCGTATCTGACTGGCAAAGTGTCCGATGATGTAGTGGTCGATAGACGTACAAAACTTATGTGGCCGTTCATTACAATAGGAATAGCTATCATTGTAGGTAGGTGTGCACATCCCATCCCATTACCCCAAATAAAGTCATTTACTATTATTTTAATATAATCATTATATGGACACACATACATATTTGATTCTAATTATGATAAAATGTTAGAGAAATAACATTATATAAAAAAAATAATTTTGTCTAAAACAATGTTGTGAACAATGAAAATGTTTATTTATAAATTTCAATATTATAAATATATATACTTTACATATAGATATTTTTTTAAAAAAATTATCACTAAAATAAAATGTTTAGTTGGTTTTTTGTAATTTATTTGCTAATAATGGTGATGATAGTTAACAACAACAACAAC